TGAGATACTGACTGACTAACACTGAGATACTGACGGCTGACACTGAGATACTGACTGACTAACACAGATATTGACTGACACTGAGATACTGACTAACACTGAGGTACTGACTAACACTGAGGTACTGACTGACTAACACTGAGGTACTGACTGACTGACACTGAGATACTGACTGACTGACTAACACTGAGATACTGACTGACTGACACTGAGATACTGACTGACACTGAGATACTTACTGACTGACTAACACTGAGATACTGACTGACTGACACTGAGATACTGACTGACTAACACAGATATTGACTGACACTGAGATACTGACTAACACTGAGGTACTGACTAACACTGAGGTACTGACTGACTGACACTGAGATACTGACTGACTGACTGACTGACACTGAGATACTGACTGACTGACTAACACTGAGATACTGACTGACTGACACTGCGATACTGACTGACACTGAGATACTTACTGACTGACACTGAGATACTTACTGACTGACACTGAGATACTTACTGACTGACACTGAGATACTGACTGACACTGAGATACTGACTGACTGACTAACACTGAGATACTGACTGACACTGAGTTACTGACTGACTAACACTGAGATACTGACTGACTAATACTGAGATACTGACTGACACTGAGATACTGACTGACTAACACTGAGATACTGACTGACTAACACTGAGTTACTGACTGACTGACACTGAGTTACTGACTGACTGACACTGAGATACTGACTGACTGACACTGAGATACTGACTGACTTACACTGAGATACTGACTGACACTGAGATACTGACTGACTGACTAACACTGAGATACTGACTGACTGACACTGAGATACTGACTGACTAACACTGAGATTCTGACTGATACTGAGATACTGACTGATACTGACTGACTGACACTGAGATACTGACTGACACTGAGATACTGACTGACACTGAGATACTGACTGACTGAATGACACTGAGATACTGACTGACACCGAGAGATTGACTGACACTGAGTTACTGACTGACTGACTGATTCTGAGATACTGACTGATATTGACTGACTGACACTGAGATACTGACTGACTGACACACTGAGATACTGACTGACTGACACTGAGAGACTGACTGACACTGAGATACTGACTGATACTGACTGACTTACACTGAGTTGCTGACTGACTAACACTGAGATATTGACTGACACTGAGATACTGACTAACACTGAGGTACTGACTAACACTGAGGTACTGACTGACTGACACTGAGATACTGACTGACTGACTAACACTGAGATACTGACTGACTGACTAACACTGAGATACTGACTGACTAACACAGATATTGACTGACTGACTGACACTGAGATACTGACTGACTGACTAACACTGAGATACTGACACTGAGATACTTACTGACTGACTAACACTGAGATACTGACTGACTGACACTGAGATACTGACTGACTAACACAGATATTGACTGACACTGAGATACTGACTAACACTGAGGTACTGACTAACACTGAGGTACTGACTGACTGACACTGAGATACTGACTGACTGACTGACTGACTGACACTGAGATACTGACTGACTGACTAACACTGAGATACTGACTGACTGACACTGAGATACTGACTGACACTGAGATACTTACTGACTGACACTGAGATACTTACTGACTGACACTGAGATACTTACTGACTGACACTGAGATACTTACTGACTGACTAACACTGAGATACTGACTGACACTGAGTTACTGACTGACTAACACTGAGATACTGACTGACTAATACTGAGATACTGACTGACACTGAGATACTGACTGACTAACACTGAGATATTGACTGACACTGAGATACTGACTAACACTGAGGTACTGACTGACTGACACTGAGATACTGACTGACTGACACTGAGATACTGACTAACACTGAGATACTGACTGACACTGAGTTACTGACTGACTAACACTGAGATACTGACTGACTAACACTGAGATACTGACTGACACAGAGATACTGACTGACTGACTAACACTGAGATACTGACTGACACTGGGTTGACTGACTAACACTGGGATGCGACTGACTGACTAACAGATACAGACTGATACTGAGATGCTGATGACTAAACACTGGGGTCTTGAAACTGGATACTGACTGATGACACTGAGGATACTGACTGACTGACACTGGATACTGACTGACTGACACTGGAATCACTGACTATTCTTACTGAGATACTGACTGACTGACACTGAGATACTGACTGACTGACACTGAGATACTAACTGACTGACTAACAAAGAGATACAGACTGATACTGAGATACTGACTGACTAAACACTGAGATACTGACTGAAACTGAGATACTGACTGACTGACACTGAGATACTGACTGACTGACACTGAGATACTGACTGACTGACTAACAAAGAGATACAGACTGATACTGAGATACTGACTGACTAACACTGAGATACTGACTGATACTGAGATACTGACTGACACTGAGATACTGACTGACTTACTAACACTGAGATACTGACTGACTAACACTGAGTTACTGACTGACTGACACTGAGATACTGACACTGAGATACTGACGGACTGACACTGAGATACTGACTGACTAACACTGAGATACTGACTGACACTGAGATACTGACTGACTGACTAACACTGAGATACTGACTGACTGACTAACACTGAGATACTGACTAACACTGAGATACTGACTGACTGACTAACACTGAGATACTGACTAACACTGAGATACTGACTGACTGACACTGAGATACTGACTGACACTGAGATACTGACTGACTGACTAACACTGAGATACTGACTGACTAACACTGAGATACTGACTGACTAACACTGAGATACTGACTGACTAACACTGAGATACTGACTGACTGACTAACACTGAGATACTGACTGACTAACACTGAGATACTGACTGACTAACACTGAGATACTAACTGACTAACACTGAGATACTGACTGACACTGAGATACTGACTGATACTGAGATACTGACTGACTGATACTGAGATACTGACTGACTGACACTGAGATACTGACTGACACTGAGATACTGACTGACTGACACTGAGATACTGACTGACACCGAGATACTGACTGACACCGAGAGATTGACTGACACTGAGTTACTGACTGACTGACTGATTCTGAGATACTGACTGATATTGACTGACTGACACTGAGATACTGACTGACACACTGAGATACTGACTGACTCTGACTGACTTACACTGAGTTGCTGACTGACTAACACTGAGATATTGACTGACACTGAGGTACTGACTGACTGACTAACACTGAGATACTGAGATACTGACTGACTGACTAACACTGAGATACTGACTGACTGACTAACACTGAGATACTGACTGACTGACACTGAGATACTGACTGACTGACACTGAGTTACTGACTGACTAACACTGAGATACTGACTGACTAACACTGAGATACTAACTGACTAACACTGAGATACTAACTGACTGACACTGAGATACTGACTGATACTGAGATACTGACTGACTGATACTGAGATACTGACTGACTGACACTAAGATACTGACTGACACTGAGATACTGACTGACTGAATGACACTGAGATACTGACTGACACCGAGATACTGACTGACACCGAGAGATTGACTGACACTGAGTTACTGACTGACTGACTGATTCTGAGATACTGACTGATATTGACTGACTGACACTGAGATACTGACTGACACACTGAGATACTGACTGACACACTGAGATACTGACTGACTCTGACTGACTTACACTGAGTTGCTGACTGACTAACACTGAGATATTGACTGACTAACACTGAGATACTGACTGACTGACTAACACTGAGATACTGACTGACTAACACTGAGATACTGACTGACTAACACTGAGATACTGACTGACTGACACTGAGTTACTGACTGACTAACACTGAGATACTGACTGACTAACACTGAGATACTGACTGACTAACACTGAGATACTAACTGACTAACACTGAGATACTGACTGACACTGAGATACTGACTGATACTGAGATACTGACTGATACTGAGATACTGACTGACACTGAGATACTGACTGACACTGAGATACTGACTGACTGAATGACACTGAGATACTGACTGACACCGAGATACTGACTGACACCGAGAGATTGACTGACACTGAGTTACTGACTGACTGACTGATTCTGAGATACTGACTGATATTGACTGACTGACACTGAGATACTGACTGACACACTGAGATACTGACTGACTCTGACTGACTTACACTGAGTTGCTGACTGACTAACACTGAGATATTGACTGACACTGAGGTACTGACTGACTGACTAACACTGAGATACTGACTGACTGAATGACACTGAGATACTGACTAGCACTGAGATACTGACTGACTGACACTGAGTTACTGACTGACTGACACTGAGATACTGACTGACTAACACTGAGATACTGACTGACTGAATGACACTGAGATACTGACTAACACTGAGATACTGACTGACTGACACTGAGTTACTGACTGACTGACACTGAGATACTGACTGACTAACACTGAGATACTGACTGACTGACACACTAACTGACTGACACTGAGATACTGACTAACACTGAGATACTGACTAACACTGAGATACTGACTGACACTGAGATACTGACTGACTGACACTGAGATACTGACTGACACTGAGTTACTGACTGACTGACTGATTCTGAGATACTGACTTATATTGACTGACTGACACTGAGAGACTGACTGATACTGACTGACTTACACTGAGTTGCTGACTGACTAACACTGAGATATTGACTGACACTGAGATACTGACTGACTGACACTGGGATACTGACTGACACTGAGATACTGACTGACTGACTAACACTGAGATACTGACTGACTGACTAACACTGAGATACTGACTGACTAACAGTGAGATACTGACTGACTGACTAACACTGAGATACTGACTGACTGACACTGAGATACTGACTGACTGAATGACACTGAGATACTGACTGACTGAATGACACTGAGATACTGACTGACTGACACTGAGATACTGACTGACTAACACTGAGTTACTGACTGTTACTGAGATACTGACTGTGGCAAACCTAGCCACTTGAACTATAACTAGAGACTGTGCCTTTAAGGGTTGCCTACAGGTCTGGGGAGATATGCGCTTTATTGTTATGTATGTGCTTAATGTATTTGCTGCAGTGACTGTAACTATCTGTTTCGCTGAATGCAAATGGCGGTTTGTATGGGGATTCCCGTTCGTTTCACGAACGGCACTTTGGAGAGCCGTTCGTGAACCGAACGCGATACCCCCTAATAGCCCACACACTTAGAGGCTCTCCTGGGTGGCCGTCGTTCGACTACCGACCATGCGGCGGTCGGCCATCTTGGATCCTTTGTTCCTCAGCGGGTCCGAGTTGTCGAACGCATAGTATTACCAATAGCTATTCGACGGCACGAACACCGCTGAGCCTCCGGGACGTTCGGGAGTTTCAGGACCGTGTTCACTAAAAGTAATCGGTTCTTTTCGTATGTTTTAAAAGAAATGTGTTTTCTGTGCGGCATTCAGTTATTTTAGCTGGGATCTGAGCGGCAATCTCACGAATGATGCGCCCAGACCCCAGCTATCTACCGAACGTCCATTCGTGTAAATCCACCGTGTATTTTAAAAGTTATAGATTTTTGTGTGAATTGCCGGTTCTGCTGCACGAGGGGATAATCCCCTTAACGGTGCATTCTGGGAGGATGATCCCTTTCGTGCAGCAGTGCCTGATGGGAGAAATATGTTGTCATGTAAGTCCCCCATGTAGTCTCCTCTGGGAGTGCCCCTGGGGAGGGACTCAGGAAACCCCTTGCATGGGGACTTGTATAAATTGTCCTGCCGATTAAAAGGATTTCAGTTGACTCCCAAAACTGTGTCTCGTCCGGTTATTGGGAGGTTGGGGATATTGCCTTGTTGTTTTCAGCGCTTGACTGTGGATTCGTTTCTGGACCAGCGGAATTCGTGGATTTATTATTGGCGTTCCGCTACACTGACTGACTGACACTGAGATATTGACTGACTGACTAACACTGAGATGCTGACTGACTGACACTGAGATACTGACTGACTGAGAGACTGACTGACACTGAGTTACTGACTGACTGACACTGAGTTACTGACTGACTGACTGATTCTGAGATACTGACTGACACTGAGAGACTGACTGATATTGACTGACTGACACTGAGATACTGACTGACTGATGTAGCGAAACCCCTTTTTGGCTGTCCTATGCCTTTTATTGATTGTTGGCCCTGCAGAGATTTTCCTGTGCCTGGAGTACACAAAACTCTAATTAACTAGGTATAGACATACTTTGTTCGGTATGGGAATACCAGCTTACATATGAACGACTAAAATTCACCATACGAACAAAGTACCGAATGAACCAGACCACCCTGATGTGTATAATGGATATAATTTACCCCCCTGATTGCTTTGCATTTCCTTGTACGCACGAACCGCCGCCATTTCGGCAGCCGAACACGTGGCGGGCGCCATTTTAAATCCGCGAACAGCAGCGTTTGGTCGTCGAGTGTCTGGAACTGAAAACGGACACTCGACTAGCTGAACACCACTAAGACCTCCAGGGCTTCAGAATGCACAGATGGAAACCCACGAACAGCCCGGCGTTCGGTAGGATGAATCCCACGAAGTAGGGGATTCATCCTGTTACCGGATGCACTATGGATGTTAAAGCAATTCGGGACTTTTGGGGCACGAATGGAGACCGACCGCAGGGCCAGATTTCATGGAACTATTTTCGGCTACTTTGCCCGTGCGGTCGGTCAAAACTTTACCTTCCCATAACTCCCGAACCCCTGGTCTGATCTGGGTGATTTTTGGATATGTTTCTCACCCAGATCGGGGCTACCAGGGGGTAACATATTTAAGGGCATATTCCACGTATTGGGGGTACATCGGAAGAGTGGGGGAAAATGTGCTGTGTATAATTGTATTAAGTGCTAATCTAAGGGGAGGAGATGTGGGGGAGGTAACTTCGATGGGATTGGATACTGTACTAATTGTAGTGAATCCCTCCCTTGCATGGGAGAATCCAATAAAAGCAGGAATGTTCCCATTAAAAGTTAGTTCTACTCCTGATACTGTGTGTAGTCCAGTGATTGGGGAAAGTGATGGGATATTATTGGATTGTATTGCTAATTGTGCTGGATATTCACTTGGATTTATTACTTGTTCCTGCATCCTCTTAAAGTACTTGGTGGAGTTTAGCTGTGGGAAATCAGCTCTCCGCTACATTGGTTGGCAGCGTTGGGATCCAGACCCACAGAGGAGCAAGTACCAGGAAAGACAACAGCATTTATGGATCACAGAAAGCATACCGCACAGTACCAGATGACGAACTAAGGGATTATCACCGGGTTAAGGAAGTCATACTGGCCAGATATGCTATGACACCCGAAGCGTACCAAAGGCGGTTCAAAGACCTTAAAAAGACTGGTAAAGATGTGCACACAGAATGGGCTTGCTGACTACAAAGAGCGGCGCTGGGTTGGATACAGGCGAACAAAGCGCAATCCATGGAGGATTTGTTACAGATGATATTGTTGGAGCAATTTTTCGACGGATTGGTGCCAGATATACAAGAGTGGGTGAGGGATCGCAATCCTACAAACATCACTGAAGCAGCTTGAAGGGCAGACGACTACCTAGATGCCCGGAGGCAACAGAAACCAGCCCTGACTACAGGGAGTGCAGAATTATTAGGCAAATGAGTATTTTGGCCACATCATCCTCTTTATGCATGTTGTCTTACTCCAAGCTGTATAGGCTCGAAAGCCTACAACCAATTAAGCATATTAGGTGATGTGAATCTCTGTAATGAGAAGGGGTGTGGTCTAATGACATCAACACCCTATATCAGGTGTGCATAATTATTAGGCAACTTCCTTTCCTTTGGCAAAATGGGTCAAAAGAAGGACTTGACAGGCTCAGAAAAGTCAAAAATAGTGAGATATCTTGCAGAGGGATGCAGCACTCTTAAAATTGCAAAGCTTCTGAAGCGTGATCATCGAACAATCAAGCGTTTCATTCAAAATAGTCAACAGGGTCGCAAGAAGCGTGTGGAAAAACCAAGGCGCAAAATAACTGCCCATGAACTGAGAAAAGTCAAGCGTGCAGCTGCCACGATGCCACTTGCCACCAGTTTGGCCATATTTCAGAGCTGCAACATCACTGGAGTGCCCAAAAGCACAAGGTGTGCAATACTCAGAGACATGGCCAAGGTAAGAAAGGCTGAAAGACGACTGTAACGGACCGCTTTGCACAAGGGGTAAAAACCGTTTAGGCGATCGGCCCCCTTTCCAGAGATCCAGGCACAGCTACTGCAGAACACCAAAACTCACGAACTGGATACAAAATAGCACTCCAACTCCCGAACTGGAACCTCCCAAATAGCTGCTAGCAGACGAACAGGAAAAGCAGACGAACAGCTTACACTCCTGGCAATCAGTCTCTAACAGCATACAGTGAATCCCCCCAAGAACGAGACAAGGCTCCGTGTTGAGGGTCAAGCAGTGGTCTGAGGTGCTGGCACACCCAGCCTGGTTTTTATTACAGTCTTGCAAATACAGGACCGCCCACAGGGAGGTATAAAACACCCAATCACATCACAGTTACATCCCACATATTCCCTCCCCTTATCCTGAGAGGAAACTCAATTATACATACAGTTAAAACATACTTTCTACCCAACTTTCATAACTCTAAAACCATACATCACATTCACATAAAATTACAAATACACAATCAATCCATTCAGGGGAACAACATATTAAAAAATGACATGAATCAGACCAGGGGTTCAAAAGTTAGTAAAAAGTCCTTTGTGACTAAATGAAGCATGGCTTTCTGGCCCAAACCAGTTTCAGAGTCTTCTATCCTGGAGAGTAATTCAATTATCTCCCAGGACAGACACAAGACTCCATTAAGCACATGGTTGCAAAAAGACACAAAACACTTTAAAATACATAAAGTCACATTTATTACATAAAACACAGACATGTAACATATCCCCAGATAGCTCAGGTCCGAGCGCACATTATTAAGTGAATGGCGCTCAGACCACACGAATACAGTTTAATCGCCATGGAGCCAAAGTCTTTACAGTCAGTTTCATACGAATGGGCTCCATGGGATTCCTATCTGGGGTATAACACATTCAAACAAATCTACCGAACCCCAGGCAGAAAAGCACGAATGAAGCTTTTCTGCAGGTAAAAAAAGATGTCTTTTAAAAGGGGCCATAGTCCAAAGGCAAGGCGAGCAACCAGGCTTCTCCAATGCAATGTGGCGAGATTGGTCTCACGTCAACGACCACCACTGAACAAGACACACAAGCTGAAACGTCAAGACTGGGCCAAGAAATATCTCAAGACTGATTTTTCTAAGGTTTTATGGACTGATGAAATGAGAGTGAGTCTTGATGGGCCAGATGGATGGGCCCGTGGCTGGATTGGTAAAGGGCAGAGAGCTCCAGTCCGACTCAGACGCCAGCAAGGTGGAGGTGGAGTACTGGTTTGGGCTGGTATCATCAAAGATGAGCTTGTGGGGCCTTTTCGGGTTGAGGATGGAGTCAAGCTCAACTCCCAGTCCTACTGCCAGTTCCTGGAAGACACCTTCTTCAAGCAGTGGTACAGGAAGAAGTCTGCATCCTTCAAGAAAAACATGATTTTCATGCAGGACAATGCTCCATCACACGCGTCCAAGTACTCCACAGCGTGGCTGGCAAGAAAGGGTATAAAAGAAGAAAATCTAATGACATGGCCTCCTTGTTCACCTGATCTGAACC